CTCTATAAGACCAAACGAGAATGTGAAAGAGCTCAACGTCATTAACCGCCTCGAAACATTCATGCCTCTTTTTTTTCGGAGTCACGTGGGATAAATATTTCGGTACGTGTAGAGTGCATGCGAAGCAGTTGGGTATACTTACCGTAAACTGTTTTGTACTAATGTGATCGGATATTGTTATTTTAAGAACTTTTTTTCCCACCTTTTTCTTTCTCGCCTTTTGTTTTACGTGCGGTGCCACTCGTTGTAAGACGTCGCAGCCAAAACGTACGTTTGTAATCCCTGAAACACTGCCCAATATCAGATGAACCTTTTTTTATTAGTTTGTGTTTGAAGACCTGCCCAATGCGGTAAAAATAAAAGAAAGGTGTTTGTTTAACTCGGTTTTGAGATTTATGCGTACAAGTACTTCATCACTGTTAAGAGATGCTTTAAAACCAACATTAAACTTATTTCGTCATTGTACGTTGAGTAAAAAATGATTTATAGTAAATTCGCGATATCTTGCGGCGACTTGCAGTAATTTTAAACAACGGTAAAATAACCTAAGTAACGAACTAATTTATATATGTTTAGTGAAGCCCCACACCTCTACCGGTTATCCACTTTTACCGCTGAAGAACAAAACAAAAGAACACAGATACAGGATTAACAGTTTATCGATGTTTCATGTACACCCAATAAGTCTTGAGTAACTTAGTGGAGTTTACTAGTACATATTCCGTCCAATTTAGATAAACTTAAAGTGAAATTATTGTGCACTTGAATTTTTATGTATAGTATACTTAAAAAAGTATGCTATAGGTATACATTTCAGTAGTTTATTTTTGTACATTAAGAGTACAGTTCCCATACAGCTCAAGTAGCTCAAGCAGATTTACTATAAAATATTTTCATTGACGTAATTTCGTGCACCATTTTGTTGCTATGAGATGTCTGCCGTGTGCTATAAGTGTATTTCCCGAAGATTCGTACGATACTCACAAATTACGAATTCAAAAAAGCTTGTTTAATCACGCCTTTTTTTATGCATAAAACATTTTTTGCTGACTCACTCTGACGACGAAATAAGTCGTACACCTTTCAAACGCAAGCCCATCGCTTCTTCCAAATCTCGTAAAAACTACTTCACGCGGAGTAGGAGCAATGCGCAGAACTTACTCTTTTTTGGTGAAAACAAACACAGTTTTGTATTTCGTGTACTTTCAGTACAGCCTCCAAGTACTGAAATTACTAAAAACATATTTCTAGTACACTAAGTATACTTTTGGTGTATTGTATTTTACTAAGGCTTGCTTTTTACCAAGGGATCGTTTGGTACTATTGGCTTTTAAGAACGTTTGTCGATTTAATAAATTAACCTTTCCCGTAGATTCTATGTACATATGATCTCTCAAGTACTGCAAAACCTGCGCTCTAGTGAAATACAGTTTCAATGCCAATCCATAGTTGGCGCCGGCGTGCCAGTGCGTTCTCTCGTTGTAAGAGATCGCAAGAACTCGGTCAGAAGCAAATGCCAATGAGAGACCCAGCCTTTAGGTAGCAGCTATTCCAGATTCCAAAGTTACGAAGTTTTGTTCAAAAGTAATAAAAGATTCTTTGAAATTTTTGCTGGGAAAATGGAGGCCAACAAAATCCGTGTATGCATGAAGGGGAATGGCATCATGCTACCGAGAACGGCATCCGAAAATCGTTTATAACTTTTGAACCGGATAACGGCACTTGTGGAAAATGGCGTAAAGGGCAAAAAAAAAAAAAAAAAAACGAAAGCCACCGGAAAAGCAAAAATGTAAAAGCACTCAGACGAACCCACTCCTTAACTTTAGTGAATTATAGTGCTAAGTTGCTCAATATGTCAGCAGTGAATAGCGTGACGATGAACTTACTTTGCAACGCCGAAAGGCAATCACGAGCAGAATCACCGGCAGAACGAGAGACAATGCCCACAGGAGCGTCACTTTGTCTGCGAGAGTATTTGCATAAACAATATCAGGGTACCAATCATTCATGTTTTTTTTTGTTTATTGGTTTATTTAGTTGGCTTATCTATACATTCACGTAACCTGGTATCAACTAAAATACGTTATTGCGAGGGATGGATGCAAGTGCATTTCAATCAATATACAAACACGAGGCCATTTGACAAGAGCGTACTCGACTAACGGTTACAAGTTACAACCAGGGGAAGAAAAGGTTCCATAAACCCAACAAAGGCAGCGTTAATACGAAAAGCTTTGTTTAGGTGATGAAAATCTCTCGTGCAGAAGTTAGGGGGACACTTTCGTCTGGTAGCGAGTTCCATCAACCGCTTCCTGTAGATGGATACAGTGTCTGAACCTCTTCACTCGTACCAGATACTTTAGTAAGGAATACACCTTACTCCACGAAAGTGTAATAGCTTTTGAGTCGACAGCTTCAGCGAAGTTTGAACGGCTGGACACGCGGAGCATCGGGGTTTTCCTCTTTGAATTGGGAGGAGTGATTGCCGCAATCTATCCTCGTGTACTACGCCCGCCGAGACAACGGAGACAGCCGTCTTTGCTCTCTCTTGGCGATTCCGGTGTCTCGGCGAGTCGGCGGCGGCCCTCGCGATTCCTCGGGTCAGCGCACGAAAGCGCGATGGCGGGGACAGGACGATGCGCATGCGTTCTCTCGGACGCAGGGTTTGCTCACTGATAGAGCAAACATTTCGTGCTATAGGCGCGATATCTCATTCAAATTAGTGGAGTAGAATGTATTCTCCTGGTAACGTACTTGCTAGTACTCTTCAATTTGCTTTTTTTTCTTAGTGGTCTCGTCCTCTTTATGGCAACTAGAGGCAACGTGTCGGAACAGACGGGATTATAAAAGGCGCCATGTGTGGTTTATTCGCCTCCACGTAATATAACCAAGCTTTGTTTAAAAGTGCCGTTTGCCTCCGCTGGCAATGCACGCACTGTCTCCTGAAACGTTGAAGTTCTGACTTAAATAAAAGGTTTACAGCCCTCTTGATCAAGAGCCATATTTAGGATGAACGGTCACAGTGTCGCTGACGTACGGAAAAGGGCTGTGGCGTTGATTGGCCCCGTTTTCTACTTCCCACAAAGCAGGAGCAGCGCATTGACCGGTAGGAGTGGTGTCCGCTTTGAAAAACCGCCCGAGGAAAGTGTCGTCAGCTGACATACGCACCGACAGCTGATTGACGTATTAAAAATTGCAGTGATGAATACTTTATGAAAGACCTATGTTCAGTCACCATTTTTCAACTATACCTTAAGTGGACGATGAAAGCGTTTAAGGAAAATTTAAGAATTTAGCTTGTTTTTGGCCTTACTTAAGAGTGACTAGCTCTACTGTGAATGGGCAGGAGGATTAAAAGACACGCAGAATTCGTTCGCATAAATATTATTTTATACGATTCACTCATAATTGCGCTTTGATTGAGCATCGTAACCTTGATTCTTAGGAAATATGTCATGTAGTTTTTTTGTTTTTTTTTCTGATTGACCCTTGTAGGAACAGATGTAGCTTACTCGGAGATTAACCGACTAGACCTAGCTAGGTGATTCAGGCACTGCATTTATAAATGTCATCGTGCTGCACAGCACGACAACACCAATATATGCTTCTCGAATAGAATTTGACGCTTCGTTTTGCAGTTCAACGTTGAACAGGAACAGGAAGCGTCAAGCTCTAAGACAAAAAGGCAAAAAGCCGACGACGACGGCACCGCGGTGGCTGGACTCCATCTCGCCGGTTGCGTGCGGTGCTAGTAAAAGCAAAGGCCCGACAAAATAGATCGGCGAGATGTTTGACTCGGACTACTAGCGGTCAGGTAAGCACACTTGCAGACAGCGCTGGACATCGAATTAAAACGACCTCTAGGTCAGCGCTAGGCCAGGACTCGTTTTCGAACAGTGGGGATCCAGCAGACGAAAGCCGACGCGGCTCTGGTTTAACCTGCATCCTGGTGTGGCCTCAGATACAGAAAGTCAAGCAATACGGCTATGTTATCCAAAAAGATGCTAGAGCTTTGTAATCTAAGAAAGGCTAGGCCTTGTTATCAATTAATTAAGGCTCTGGCAGCGTTATCTAAGACCCTATATCCTTGTTACCTAGGGAGACACCACCACGGCCTTCTATTCTTGAAAGGCACTGAAGACTGGTGCACACAATTGCATTTGGTTGCTACTGAGTGCGCCTCAACCGGTTCATATATATAAGCCTGTTGTGACAGATTATGACCAGCTTCAAAAGTGACTGAGGTGGTTGCAAGTTGGAACCATGTGCCCCTCAGTCCCTTTTTAAGCCGGCCGTAAGCAGAACCAGGAGGCTTAAAACCCTTTTGAGGCGTAGACAGCTTCAACCAAACGCATGTATGTAAACCAGCCTTTCGACGTTGTTATATATAAAGGCTACGGCCTTGTTTCCTAAAAGCGCTAAGGGGCTCCTGCGCTTGCGCTGAAGTTTTGAACTATGGCGCCTTCTTTTTTTGGTAGTATAAGCTCACCTATTGGGCATTGCACAACTTGCGGCGCCTTCGCTGGGCTTTTTTTAATTTTTGTGTAGTGCTGAAGAATGAGAAAACACCTTTGGACAACCGAAATCTGCTAGATTCAACGCCGCAAGATAATCGAAAGTTCCAGATTCATGCCACCACCGCTATAGGGTACGGGTCTCTATATCTGGGTGGCGAGTTGAGAACATCTGACGTCCCGACGTGTGCCCCCCCCTCCCCCCCGCCCCCCCCCCCCCCCCCCCCTCGTTTTTTTTTCTTTTTAACGCGTGATATGGCGTTTCTCGGTTCACGCTTTTGTTGTCTCAGCTTCGGCCTGTGCTTTGACGGAGTTATAAGTTTTTTCGTTTCTTTGTATATACCTTGTTGTCGCGTTCCACACCAGAGCAGGCACGTTTCTACATGTAGGACAGTTTGGGACGCTCAAGTTTGTACTACCCAAAACAAGTCCTTAACAAGTTTTTTTTTTTTTTTTGCAACGCCAACCGGGCACCGCAGGGGGCCCCTACGACCCTGTTATCTTTATCTTGAAGGTGGTGTGCCGTTCCGGCTGCTTGTGCTCGAAGCGCGTCTCACCGCCGCCGGTGTCCACCTCCGCGTGGATGGGCTCGCTGAGCGCGACTCCCGTCCGGTTGATGGTGCGGAAGGCGGCCACGGAGAAGCGGTACCTGCTCCAGCACAGCAGGCCATTCACGTACACGTGCCGCAGCGTGGGCTCCGGGTACACGCGGCTGCGACACAGCCGGAACCAGCAGTGGGAAACCACGAAGCCGTCTGCGGCGCCGTCTAGCTCCCAGCTCACGCGCACCGTGGACGTGCCCAGCGCTGACGCCGTCATTGAGCAGGGACGGTTCGGGGCTGGGCGATCAGATTCGGAGACATGAGTCAAGTATTGGCGACGTGAGCGATCGAAAGCGTCGCTGTGATCGGTCTTCCACGATAGGCCGAATACTGACTATGACATCAGTAAAGGATTTCCCATCGACGGAAATAAGAGGAATGAAAGAACTTCAATTTTGACGGTGTTGGCAGTGTTGGTTTGAGAGTGCTATGATTTCAAGCTTCCACCATGCTCTTTACAAACACCTTCAAACTTGCTGTTCACAAGGTAATGACGTCACGAAAAGTAAACATAAGAGGGCGCCACCAAAACATCTCGCCTAGAGTGCCTTCATACACACGCGCACTTTTGCTTGAGTGGTGACATCTCAGCCATTTTTCCGCCCAATCGTTTTTTTATGCATTTTGAAGTGCGTGCAATCCGGTGTCACTCAGCTCGAGCGCGTAGCTTTGGCTGATGCATAGACGCCATCTTACCGCCCAAGTCACGCACCGAGTGCGCGAGAGCGTCACGCGCTGGCACAGTCCGGACAACAATGGATGTCTTCACCCTGAGACAGACAGACATCTAGGCACCCTAATCTCGCCGCGAATACTCTTGTTGGGCCATTCATTATAAACGAATCGCAGATGACCGTACTCAGCCCCCTCCCCTTCTCCCTTTACCCCGAACATGCCGTCCAGCTGTTCCTGTTTTTACCAAATGAAGAAGAAGCAATTTTAGAATATATTTGAAAACAATAGTGACCGCTTCTCAAACATAAAGAAAGAGTCGATTAAAATACTATTACGGCACGGAGATACAAATTTACAACGAAGCTTTCATACGTCAATTATCTGTCCAGCCAATGAGAGATATAAACACCTTGTATGCACGGGGGGGGGGGGGGGGGGGGGGGGAGGGGGCTTAGCACCAATGCGCCCCCCCCCCCTTTTCTGCACATAAATTGCGTCTAGCAGCGTAAATATTGCTCCCAAAATGTTTCTTTTTCGTGGTACAATATTTTTAATACACGTGTCTCATCTAGGCCCTTTAGAAAAAAAAAGAAGAAACATTTCCCATTGCAGTGTCCCTTTAAAAACGCGTTCCCACCGGCGATGCGATCTAGTCGCGCGATAACCTTCATCGCAAAAGCGACCATCGCGGGCAAAAAGCGACGCGATTTGAGCAGTCGCTACTCGACCCTACTTTTTCACGATGCGATCTAGTCGCGGAGCGGATGAGCCAATCAACGGCGTTCGGAGCGAGAGTTTTCGAGAAACGACTCGCCAACGAAGGCGTTGGACTCGCTCATCGCGCACGCTAGCTGGTGTGACCATTTAATTTTTTTGCGATGCGATCTAGTCGCATCGCGCGACCGCTTACATCGCCGGTAGGAATGCGCCTTAAAAGCTGGTTCACACATCTGCGTTGGTTGCGTTCGCATTGAGGTGCCTCAATGTCCTTTTGTTTAGGGTGATGCCATGCCACCCTTTGTAGTACTCGAAGCCGATAGACAGCGCTCGCGGGCAAAATATACAAAGAAATCGACGAAAACAAAATGTCGTCATAGCAGAATCAGCGCCACAAACGCGTGCAGGGACACGCTCTTTCATGCGCTTCTGAACAAAAAAGAAAAATAAGCGTGTGTAACAAAATGGCCAGATGTCTCCACTCTAAGCAAAGCGCATATGAAGGCACCCTAGTTCCCATGCAACTGAAACGACCGTAACGACAAAGTGACTGGTACAAGTCTTCGCCGTTCACAAGATGGCAAGAAAGGCAAGGGGTAGCTTGGCGAAGGAATTCATGAGTTACGGTTGCTGTGGTGTTTCTATCGTTACTGTCGCTTCGGATGAATGCGAACGAAACCGTTGCAAATGTGTGAACCAGCCTTTAGGGGGAACGGAGTATTGGCGACGTCAGCAATCGAAAGCGTCGCTGTGGTCGGCCCACCGCAATTGGCCGAATGCTGACTATGACGTCAGCAAAGGAATTATCATCGACGCAAATGAGAGGAATGTAAAAACTTCAATTTTGACGGTGTTGGCAATGTTACTTTGAGAGCGCTATGATTTTCGGCTTCCACCATGCCCATTACAAACACCATCGAACTTGTTGTTCACCAAGTAATGACGTCACGAAAGGTAACCGAACGAGGGCGCCACCGAAACATCTCGCCGCTAATAGGGCCGCTCATTTCAGTGCTGCGCCGCCATTTGCTTCCATGGGCCGCTCGAGACACGGGCCTCGTGCACTGGCACCAGAGCCGGATTAAGGCATTTCGGGGCCGTGGGCTAAGGACGCTTCACGGGCCCTAATGATGATGATGATGGCAACGATGATGATGATAATGCGGTCTGGTTAAGGCAATGAACCTGGGAAATACTGCAGTTTTCTTTAGTTTTAATCAATAGAAAGTAGAGTCTATATTTTTCAGTGTCATCGACACATTCATTACAGCTCGCGTTTGATTATCGTCTAAGGGATAACTTGTTGAGTTTCGATTGTCAATAATGATCGCTCTGCCACGTAGGCATAGACCGAAGTGCAGAACAAAACCTTTTCCATAAGAAACATATTTTATTCAAACAATCACGCTCGAAATTGAATGAAACTGCAAAAAGGTACCGCAAATATACAAGTATTAACAATATTTACAATGCAGATTTTAGCTATACAATGCGCGTACATATCGCATATTATACACAATGCAATGATATCTGTGATTTGTCAGTTTCCCTACGTTGCAAAGGAACGCAAAGTGCCATCATGTTGGACCGTTTTACATGTCTCCGTGCAATAAAATGAAAGAGGGAATAAACAGCAGTGTTTTTCACGGGCGTCTTAAATACAACAATTTTTAACACAACTAGCAAAATTCTGAATGCGAACTAACTTTACATTCAAAACGGCATCTTGCGACTCTTCAAGCTTGAAAATTCAGATATCGTCTCGTCGAAAGATATCTGCCGCAATATATCCCTTTCGATAGACAAGATAGCTAGAGAATTCAACTTTTCCTCGCTGAGAGTGGAGCGAAGGCAATTCTTAATCAAACACAACTTCGAAAATGACCGTTCGCCCTCGCAATTTGATACAGGAATACACAGGTATATTCTAAGGGTGATGGAAACATTGGGGAAAATGCTTACAATGTCTCGTTCCTGCAGAAGTTGTAAAAGTCCTCCTGCACTTGTATCCTGTAAAACGCAACTCTTCAGATAGTGCGAGAACTGAACGACTTCAGTAGAAAAGGTCGACTCAAGATCCTCCTTGTAGGTTTCAGCGAGCCTATCAGCTTGCTCTCTTAGTTCGTCTTCGCTTCCAGTTTCCCTAAGAAGTTTTAACAACTGAAATTTTTCACAGAGATCGGTATACGCGGCTTTCCGAGTCCTCAGCGCTGAGCTCAGGTTATTGAGATTTACGTAAAACGTGTCTACCTCGAACCTTCTGCTACCATGTACCCTCGCATCCTCCTCCACTGCCGTGAGTTGCCTTGAGGTGTCTCGAGTGAGCTTGCCTTGGTGACACTGTTCTACGCTTAGTGCCATTGCCTTCTCATCGAAAGCTTCAAATTTAGGCCGGAGAGAACTCACAAACCCGTCAAGAGAGTTCAGCAGGTCAACAGCCGTTGATAGGTCTAAACCAGGTCTCTGAAGTGCGACACTGGTCTTGTCAAAATGCTCCAGGATGTCGTTCCAAAACGTTGCCATAAACGCCGTTTCGAGCTTAGACAGCTTCTTGAGAAGAGATCGCGCTTCAATGCGAGAGTCGCAGGTCTCTTCTTTGTCGCTTATCATAGTCTGCAGACAATTTTGAATACGTCTGAAGTTGTTTACAATTTTTTTGCACGAATCAGCGTGCCTTGACCACCTCGTGTGAGATAAACTTTTCAGGACAGGTGGCTTTCCTCCCTGTTCTAGACTGTTGATAAAACATCTCCAGCGCTTTGGGGAAACAGACAAAAATACGTACAACTTCTGAGTTAGGATAAAAAACTTCACTGCCTCCGTACAACAGTCAACACTCCGAGTTCCTACTAGGTTTAAAGAGTGACCCGAGCATGGAACATAAACAGCGAGTTCGTTTTTCTCTTTTATCTGGGCTTGGAGACCCTTATACTTCCCTGCCATGTTGCTGGCATTGTCCTACGACTGACCCCTGAAGTTACCAATTGAAATGCCGTTCGTATCAAGAAGGGATAGTACTGTGGCTGCCAGGTACTGCCCAGTGTGCGATTCAATTGGAACAAATCCAATGAACCTCTCGTGAACATTACCCAGCAAACAGTACCGAAGTACAACAGACAACTGGTCAACATGGGAAATGTCGGGAGTAGAATCCACAATCAGTGAGTAATATTTGGCACGTTGTACCTCCTCGACAACTCGTTTCCTTACGGTCTGCGCCATCAAATCAACAAACTCGTCACAAATAGACTTCGAGAGATATGACGGGTGACCTTTTCCCTTGTTGCCATAGCGAGCGATGTGATCGCTGAGAAAGGGGTCAAATTCCGCGATCACTTCAAGGATCCCTAAGAAATTCCCATTTCCAGGAGAACCGAACGCTTCTTCGCTGCCCCTAAATGCCAGGCCTCGCTCAGCCAGCAATCTAATAACCGCCAAGACGCGCTTCAGTACTTCTTTCCAGTAGGCGCGTTGGGTTACAAAGTGTTGGACTAACTCTTTGTCAATAGTTGCACGAGCAGTAGAGCGAGATAGCCACGCAACAACAGCATTTCGATGGTCAATACTGTTTCGTGGGCTCTTGCCTTTTCTTCAGCCTTTTTCCAATCACAAAATCCATCCGTCGCAAAAGGACTGTTTGATGCGGCAAACAGCTTGCATATGAAACAATACGCAGACCCGTTGGACTGAGAGTACAAGAGCCAGTGTCGCTCAAATACCTCCCCGTTAGCGGCCTTCCTCACAAAAAGTTGAGGGGACAGATATCGTTTCTGGCTCGTGTACTGTCTCTCTGAAGTGGGGTAATATTCCGATCGATTTTGAAAGCACTGCGGTCCTCTCTCAAT